TGGGTCCAACGTTCAGAGAGACAGGAGACAGGTGTGGGGCAGGGGCTGCGTCTCAGTGGCACTTGTTTGGGGTCTTTTGCAGAGCTGGCCCCTCCCCAGGTTTCAAGAGCTGCTTGTCAGATCACAACAGAGGGAATGTGGGCAAGAGGGGGCGGCGGGGAGGGGGGCCTGGGAGTCTGGACAAACTGGCACATACACGACAGATGTTTGCTCAGAAAAATACAGTAAAATCGTCATGCAAATATAACAGGAATCTGCTTTCTCACACCACTGGCTTTGCCTGCTTGCTGTTCTCAGTTTTGCCAATCTGGTGTGAGGAGGGGTTGGGGGGGCAGGTTTCGGGAGTTGAGGGAGGTCTGCTCTGCATATCCATGCTGGCCCCCTCCTCTCTACTCCCCAGAAGAACAGTCCTTTCTTTGCAAATGTCACCCCCAAAATGAGCCCTGGGTTTGGTCTGTCCCCCAAGTGGGTGTAAGAGAGGTGCTCAGTTGAGCCCTAGCACCCCCCAGCAGTCCTCTGCCAGTCTGTACCCCGGGAAGGAAGGTCGCTAGACCACCCACCAACCCAGGAGATGGCACTAGCTTTCCTGGTCAGCAACCCCCCCACACAGTACAGGTCTTAGTCCCACCCCAGTGCCCACCCTCACCCCCCAGCCACACTCCCCAAATCTCAAGAAACCCAACGGGGTGACAGGCCAGAGGCTGGGGGTCTCCGGCAGGGGTGTGGGGGGAGCTGAGCGGGCTCCTCCCCATCCTGAGGTGGGTGGGGAGCCAAGGAGCACGTTGGCAGATGGGCAAGGCTATAGGCGTCCCCATCCCCCACTGGCCCACGTCCTAATCAAAGGTGAAGGGCCCCCCAGCACCCTGACAGTGTGTTCAAGCCCCCACAGTCTCAGGACCCCAGATTTGCGTGCCCCGCCCCCCCACAGACTCGACCCTGAAAGCCCCTAGCTGTTGAAAAAGGCTGCGGCCGCCTGGGCCTGCCCTCCCTTACCACCCTCTGCCGCCCACACTGAGAGAGAAACCCCAGGAGCCCAACAGTCCCAACTGCCAGGCCCTGGGTTGCCATGGCGACAGAAGCTGGCCAGGGAGAGGGAGGGGCCCTACGAACCTGCCTGCTTCCCCCCCACCCCAGCAGGGGGGTGGTGCTCACTATTTGTGCTTTGTTCGATGTTGGGTGGGGGTCAGCAAGGGGGGAAGCGGCCATCTCCATGGAAACATGGGAGCCCCTCTGGCCAGGGGGTGGGGCAAGGAGGGGCAGCCAAGAGGTGGTGGGTGAGTAAGCCTGGGAAAGCCCTCCTCCCCCTGGGCAGGCCGAGATGCTGCCCCGAGATCCCATGATGGGGGTCAGGAAGGTGGGAGACCAGGATGTGGGGGGCCCAGGCAGGAAGACCCCCCCCCTTATACCCTGCCTCCCCACTGCTCCCAGGCATCACAGTTCACTGCTGCCCTCTGGGATGAGGAGGGGTCCTAGAGGCCCAGAGAGGCTAGGGGGCTGGGGCAAGGGGGCCTGCACCTGAGAGGCGGTGGGAGCAGGCCCACCTGCTCTCTCCTCAGACCCCAGAAGCAGCTCCCAGGCTACTTGGAAGACACTTGAAGGGGGCTGGTGGAATGGCCCCGTGCCTCTGCTCCTTTCTTGCAAGCAAGACCTCCCGTCTCTCCTGGGTGCTGGCGTTGGGGGGGCCGGGGGGGCGAAGGACCCCCAGCGTGATGAATCACAGCTCCACGCTCGGGGGCGTGGCCGTGGGGCTTTCTAGAAAGGAAAAGCACCTGCCTGATTTCTCAAGTCCCTCAGCCCCAGGAGACCACAGCTCTGGAAGGGGGTGGCGGGCGAAGGGTGGGGGATAGCACTGGGCTGGGAAGTTGGGAAACTGCCTAACCTGCCACGTGACCCTGGGGTGATCACCTCCTTTCTCTGGGCCTCCGTTTCCCCAGCCATAAAAGAAAGGAAATGAGGCCCAATATCTGCCTGGTGCTAAATCTCCAAGTGACCTGTCCCCAGAGTAGGGGGTGGGGAGGACCCTCTCTCTGCCCCCAGACTCCTCCGCCTAGTCCCAGAGCCCCAGACCCCACACCCCCTTCTGGCTTCCTGGCCTGCGCCCCGCCCCCCAGCCCCGCACACCCCAGCAGAGTCCCTGGGCAGCACAGTAAAGACGACTGGTTTCGGTATCAGTGTGTAAACTTTAAGGAGAACGTGTCTTTGTTTTCCTGTCCGTTGTTGTCGGGTGGTGGCTGTTCACAGTCAGGTGGTGGTCAGGTGTGTGCATGGGTGCGTGCGTGCGGGTGTGCGTGTGCGTCCACTCCTCGGCCGCGGCCCCCCAGCGCCGCGCCCTCCCCCTGCCCGGCCGCGGGGCCCTTCCCCGGGGGTGCCCCCAGCCCTCCCCCTCCGGCCTCACCGGGAAGGAGAGGGTCACAGCTTCTGCTGGGCCGAGACCCCCTTCCAGTAATCGAGGATGTCGTGCAGGTCCTCGTCCTTGGCGAACTGGACCTTCTTGCGCAGGGCGTGGCCGGCAGCCATGTACACCTCCTCCCGGTGGTGCTTCTTGTAGGGCCGGAAGCGCTCCCAGATCTTGTGCGTGCTCTCGGATGAGTACTCAGGGCTGGAGGAGTAACCTGAGTAGTAGTGTCTGGGCGAGAGCTGCGAGTAGGTGGAGTCCCGCTTGGAGCGGGTCAGCGGCTTGAGGAAGGACACGCGCTGGCTCAGGCTGTCGGCGCCCTCCTCGTAGTACAGGGCTGGGAAGCTGTGTCGGTGCTCGCTGCAGGGGTAGGCGGGCTTC